TTGAAGAGTGAGTTGCTGGCAGCTGCAGCTTTTGTGCACTGTATTGGGTTTCAGCTTGAGCACTGACTGCTGGGTGGTGCTTGAAGTGGGGATAAATTCTCTAATACGGGCAGATTCCAAGAAATTGAGGAATGTCAGTGGAGGTGTTGCGCTCTGTTGGTAGCTCAGCTTTGCTGCTGTGCCTCTGCGAAGAAGCTGTTAATCAAATGGGCTGTCATGTTCTTAAGCGGATGTGATGAGGTAGGTTTGGTTTGAAGTGACAAAGAAAAAGAATTAACTTAACGAAACTGCCTACCTTTCCGTGGGGAATTAAGGTGGAATGTCCAATAACCCAAGTATACAGTGGTAACTTTCAGCAGGTGCCTTTAAAAGGACAGCTGTGCCACATCTTGCATGCTTCCTAGCTTATTGAAACCTCTTTTATCTGGCTTAATATTAATTAAATATTCTTGCCTCTGTAACTGTTATCTTTGAGTGAACTGTGGGTAGATTTGGCTGGGTAGCTCTGAGGCACCGCTATGTTGTCCTACTGTTTGACAACATCAGAACATGTGCGTTCTTCCTAGCTTTGGAATAGATCTTAAAAGTCTTTTGTATTACAGTTATCTCATTAAACCAGCCTAATAATTGTATAAATACAATCTTATATGGATTGTATCTCATAGAAAGGGACTGGGCTTGATGACGCACAGGACCATTCCTATCTTGTTCTTTCTTTAGGTACGTCTCTAAGCTTCTTACGTCTGTGATGACAGGCAGAAAACATAAGGCAGCATGGAGGAAAAGGTGACAAATCGGAAAAGGAAAATAAAAAGCCTTTCCAGGGAGAGTGAGTGTGTTCAGCAAGCGCATGTATGAATGGCACAGGAAAAAGAGCAAGGTTGTAACAAAAAAAAAATTCAGCAAAGATCATTAGTTTCAGCAGCATTCTTTTTTTTTTTTTTTTTTTTAGTTTGGTTCTCACTTCTGGCAAAGTCAACGTTACAACTGGTCAAATTTATACCGATTTTTTTTTAAAAATTTATTTAATGCTAGTTTACCAGCCAAAATACAAATAAAATTTTTGGTAGCTATTTGGAGACAGCAAGCTAGCATACTCATTTTTAAGTTTAGAAATGATAATACTACTTCCTGTATTTAAAATGCAAATTTATTAATTTATTGCGGTCTCAAAGGGTTTCTCACTGTTGCAGGACTGAACAGAAGGCATCTGGTGCTTGAGTGAGGAAGCTATGCCTTGAGGAGGTGAAAGCCTCTGGGTCTAAACGAGGTGCAGGGCCAGCGTACCACTGGATCTTGTGTGTGTATGATGGTACAGCGAGCTGTTAGGGGTGAATGCGCATCGTGTGCATGTGTAAATTTAATTTAGCAATGGCGAACTTGAGCTTCAGAATAAGTTGGTGGGTTTTGCTGTTCAGTGCTTCATCTTGGTGTTAGATGCGTGGCTGTTTAACATCGATACTGGCAACTAGATTTGCACTTGGATGTTTAGGGAGGATATCTGATAGCGGTGCAAGTTGATGGGCTGAAGTTGAAGATGTGATGATCCATAAAAAGTGATTTTTCACTTGGGCTGATTGTTGGCTCCACCACAGCTACATGCCTCCAGGTACCTGCAAGTCCGGAGTGGTCACAGCAGACTTCAAAACTAAACACTATACTTTTGGCTTTCCAAACAAGACAGGAGAGTCCTCCCTAACGGCAGGGTGGGCATCACTCAGTAAAGTTCGCAGGGAGCTGCTGCGATGGTTTTTAGCGTGGTTTTCTTTCGACATCAACAAAAGCTGTTTAATTTGTGCATCCGCTCCAGGTTAGGCTGGTATGTGGCAATTATGCATGTGCAATCAATGGAACTTTTTCTCTTGTAAAGAAGTAAGTTTAAGTTGTTTAGGGGGTGCATGTATTTTGTTTTTTAAATCTGTTGTACTTGGATGGATTTTTAATTTGCGATCTGTTTTCCCAGAGGAGTGACTAGACTGGGTGAAGCTCCTTCAGACCGGGTTGTGTATTGCAAGTGTTGGCGGAGCATGTGTGATGGCAACTGATGCCAGGTTGTAGGTTGCAGCAGTTCAGATACTAGTTATGTGGCAACAAGTCTTGAGTTTTTTGGTCTGCGTTAGTGTGCAGGGTTACAGAGTTTGACATTCCCAGATGACTGGAGGGTGGCAAATGTGACACCTATCTTCAAGAAGGGCCGGAAGGAGGATCTGGAGAACTACAGATCAGTCAGCCTGACCTCAGTACCGGGGAAGATTATGGAGAGGCTGTGGATGTTGTCTACCCGGACTTCAGCAAAGCCTTCGACACAGTCTCCCATAGCATTCTCCTGGAGAAGCTGGCAGTTCATGGCCTAGATGGATGTACTCTTCGCT